TTACTATAGGTCTCCGAACATATGAAATCGGAATATACAATATGTACCCGGAAAATATTGCTGTCAATTTATGATGACTAAAAAGTATACTTTTATTTGGGAAATATTTTGAATAGTATCAAAGTGGGTCTATTTGACCCAGAGTCTTTCGTTTTAGGGTGTTGCTGTCAATAAAAAATATATTCTGCATCAAATTCCACTATAGGTCATCGAACATAAGAAATCGGTATACATAATATATATGCCGGAAATATGACAATCAATTTGTGGATAAAAAAGCAAAATATTTGTATTGACAATTTTGAAACCTTCCAGATATGGGGCCTATCTGACCCATAGTGCTTCGTGCTAGCAGGTTATTGTGAATGAAGAAAATGTTTTCCATTGAATTTTACTATAGGTCACCGAACACAAGAAATCCGAATATATAATATATGGTCAAGAAATATGCGTACCAATTTGAGCATAAGAAAAAACACATCACTTGTATTGCTAAATTAGAAGCTTTTTAAATGCGAGCCTATTTGACCCACTATACTTCATGTCAGCAGCTTACTGTCAATGAAAAATATATTCTGCATCAAATCTTACTATAGGTTCCCGAACATAAGAAATCGGTATATATAATATATATATGCCGGAAATATGACAATCAATTTGTAGATAAAAAAGCAAAATATTTGTATTGACAATTTTGAAGACTTCCAGATATGGGGCCTATCTGACCCACTGTGCTTCGTGCTAGCAGGTTATTGTGAATGAAGAAAATGTCCAGCAACAAATTCTACTAAAGGTCACCGAACACAAGAAGTCAGTATATAGGACACATACCTACGATATATCGCTTCGATTTTAGTATATTAACTAAAAAAAAGTGTTATATTGTAAATTTGATGGTCTTCCCGAAATGGGTCAATTTGTACCACTGTGCATCATTTTAGCGGATTACTGTCACTGAAGAAAATGTCCAGCATCAAATTCTACTATAGGTCACCGAACACAAGGAATCGATATCTTAACTATATATCCCAAAAATGTCGGTGTCAATTGGGCACAAAAAATTAAACAAAATTATTTTATGTAAATTTTGACCTTCTTCAAATTTGAGTCAATTTGACCCACTGTGCTTCATTTTAGCGGATTACTGTCAATGAAGAAAATGTTCTGCATTAAATTTCTCTATAGGTCACCGAACATAAGAAGTCAGTATATAGGACACAGACCTCGAAGATATCGCTTTGATTTGAGTATATTTACTAAAAAAAGTGTTATATTGTAAATTTGAAGGTCCTCTGGAAATGGGTCAATTTGGACCACTGTACATCATTTTAGTGAGTTACTGTCAATGAGGAAAATGTCCAGCATCAAATTCTACTATAAGTCACCGAACACAATAAATCGATATCTATACTATATACCCCAAAGATATCGGTAACAATTGGGTACAAAAAAAATTAAACAAAATTCTTTAATGTACATTTTCTTCAAATACCATGGTGGCGAAAAACACCTTTCTTCAAAGGTAAAACATATCGATATCCCGCACTTCAACAAGGCATATTGGAGGTGTTTGAAACCCAAAAGAGAAGGTAAAACTCAGACACACACACACAGAACACTTCCTAAATCTAGGTAGCAGGATACGACTTTGATGTATTCCTAAATAAATACCGATATATTTATCCCCAGAGATATTTAAAGATAGCCTTTAAAATGTTCGATAAATAAAATAAATAAAAAAAATCATTGCATACTTTAAGGAAAAGGCCAAATAAAATTACAATAATTGTAAAAAAATAAAACAATCCCAAATGGAGGCACTGAAAAAAATATTTTCAAAAATTCTACGCCGAAATGTAGGCCCTGAAAAAATATTTTCAAAAAATCGACGCATAAATGGTCCTAAAAATTATTTAAAAAATCCTCGCCTAAAAGTAGGCTAAAAAAAATATTTCAGATGCAAAAATAAAATATTTTTATTGACAATTTTAAAGAGTTCAAGATATGGGGCTTTGATTCATTTTAGAGGGTTACCGGCAATGGAAAAAATATTCTACACCAAATTTTACTATAGGTCACAGAACATAAGAAATCGGAATATACAATATGTATGCGGAAAATATTGCTGTCAATTTATGATGACTAAAAAGTATACTTTTATTTGGAAATATTTTGCATCGTATCAAAGTGGGCCTATTTGACCCACTGTCTTTCGTTCTAGGGGGTTGATGTCAATGCAAAATATATTCTGCATCAAATTCTACTATAGGTCTCCGAACATAAGAAATCGGTATATATAATATATATGCAGAAAAATAATGGCAATCAATTTCTGGATAAAAAAGCAAAATATTTGTATTGACAATTTATAAGCCTTCCAGATGTGAGGGCTTTTGACCCCCTGTGCTTCGTGCTAACAGGTTACCGTCAATGGATAAAATGTTCTCCATCAAATTATACTATAGGTCACCGAACACAAGAAATCGGAATATATAATATATGGTCAAGAAATATGCGTACCAATTTGAGCATAAAGAAAAACACATCATTTGTATTGCTAAATTAGAAGCTTTTTAAATTAGAGGCGATTTGACCCACTGTGCTTCATTTTAGCGAATTACTGTCAATGAAAAATATATTCCGCATCAAATTCCACTATAGGCCATCGAACATAAGAAATCGGTATATATAATATATCTGCAGAAAATATGACAATCAATTTGTAGATAAAAAAGCAAAATATTTGTATTGACAATTTTGAAGACTTCCAGATATGGGGCCTATCTGACCCACTGTGCTTCGTGCTAGCAGGTTATTGCGAATGAAGAAAATGTTCTCCATCAAATTCTATTAAACGTCACCGAACACAAGAAGTCAGTATATAGGACAGGTACCTACAATAGATCGCTACGATTTTAGTATATTAACTAAAAACAGTGTTATATTGTAAATTTGAAGGTCTTCGGGAAATGGGTCAATTTGGGCCACTGTACATCATTTTAGTGGGTTACTGTCAATGACGAAATTGTCCAGCATCAAATTCTACTATAAATCACCGAACACAAGGAATCGATATCTTAACTATATATCCCAAAAATTTCGGTATCAATTGGGCACACAAAATTAAACAAAATTCTTTAATGTAAATTTTGACGTTTTCAAGCCAATTGACCCACTGTGCTTAATTTTAGCGGATTACAGTCAATGAAGAAAATGTTCTCCATTAAATTTCACTATAAATCACCGAACACAAGAAGTCAGTATATAGGACACATACCTCGAAGATATCGCTTCGATTTTAGTATATTAACTAAAAAAAGTGTTATATTGTAAATTTGAAGGTCTTCTGGAAATGGGCCAATTTGGACCACTGTACATCATTTTAGTGGGTTACTGTCAATGAAGAAAATGTCCAGCATCAAATTCTACTATAGGTCGCCGAACACAAGAAGTCAGTTTATAGGACACATACCTACAATAGATCGCTTCGATTTTAGTATATTAACTAAAACAAAGTGTTATATTGTAAATTTGAAGGTCTTCTGGAAATGGGCCAATTTAGACCACTGTACATTATTTTAGTGGGTTACTGTCAATGAAGAAAATGTCCAGCATCAAATTCTACTATAAGTCAACGAACACAAGGAATCGATATCTTAACTATATATACCAAAAATGTCGGTATCAATTGGGTACATAAAAATGAAACAAATTTCTTTAACGTAAATTTTGACCTTCTTCAAATTTGAGCCAATTTGACCCAATGTGCATCCTTTTAGGTGATTGGTGCCAATGGAAAAAATATTCTGCATCAAATTTCACTATAGGTCACCGAACACAAGAAGTCAGTATATAGGACACATACCTCGAAGATATCGCTTCGATTTTAGTATATTAACTAAAACAAAGTGTTATATTGTAAATTTGAAGGTCTTCTGGAAATGGGTCAATTTGTACCACTGTGCATCATTTTCGTGGCTTACTGTCAATGAAGAAAATATTCTTCATTAAATTATATTATAGGTCACCGAACACAAGGAATCGATATCTTAACTATATATCCCAAAAATGTCGGCATCAATTGGGCACAAAAAAATTAAGCAGAATTCTTTAATGTAAATATTGACCTTCTTCAAGTTTGAGCCAATTTGATCCACGGTGCATCCTTTTAGGTGATTGGTGCCAATGGAAAAAATATTCTCCATCAAATTTCACTATATGTCACCGAACACAAGAAGTCAGTACATAGGACACATATCTCGAAGATATCGCTTCGATTTTAGTATATTAACTAAAACAAAGTGTTATATTGTAAATTTGAAGGTCTTCGGGAAATGGGCCAATTTGGACCACTGTACATCATTTTAGTGGATTACTGTCAATGAAGAAAATATCCAGCATCAAATTCTACTATAGGTCACCGAACACAAGAAATCGATATCTTAACTATATATCCCAAAAATGTCGGCATCAATTGGGCACAAACAATTTAACAAAATTCTTTAATGTAAATTTTCTACATTTTTCAAGTTTGAGCCAATTTGACCCACTGTGCTTCATTTTAGTGGATTACTGTCAATAAAGAAAATGTTCTCCATTAAAAAAATATTTTTAAATATATATTTTTGTTATATATAATTATAATTTATTTACATTTATACATAATATTTTTAAATATATTTATTTATTATTATTTTTTTATTCTTAAAAACTAGTTTTTTATATAAATTATTTTTTTTTTAACATATACAACATTAATATGTATTATTAATATATATTTGTTTGTTTCTTTTAGCCATTTCTAGCCCTGGGCTGGATCACTAAAGTGGCACACAAAAAAAATCATACCAAAATTTTATCGAAACAAAAAATTTAAAAAAAATATTACAACAAATAAAATCTCTTCCATAAGGAACTTATTTTTTCACATTCACATCCAGCCATTTTGGCCATGGACCACCCTGGCCTCTTTAAATGAACCCCATTTCGAGTGATTCCGCTCATTTAATACCCGTTGGTGCTGGCCTATAACTACAACGACTGGCATTGTGAAACATCAGGCTGGTCGAAGTCAGCGTACCCCGCTCATGGCGACTACTACGTCCTGTAATAAGTTCTCGTACCGTTTTACGATACTTATCCGATAGCACACAATACAAAAAGAAGTTCGCTGCTGCATTCAGCGCGGAAAGGAAATTGAAAACATTACCCAATACCCTTTGTAGATTAAAATCCAAATCGGGATTTTGTAAACGCACTATGAGATAGGCAGCCCAGGGTAGTTGGCATATTATGAAACATACCACCACGGCAATTAGGGTAATGGTGACACGATTCTCCTGGGATACTGAGGTGCTGGAAGGACGGTCCTATAAAGAAGATTTTTTTAATTTACTTTCTTCAACTCTCTCCCCCCTACTCACCTTTGGTTTTCTCATACTACTGGCATTGGTCATCTTACCCCGCAACGTATTCGATCTCCTCACCATTACCACCAGAAAACAATTGAAGGTGGCCAACACGCTCAAAGGCAATAGCACATAGACTATCAAAGAAACATAGGACCATATTTTATCATATTCATCATTATCGCCCAAAATGCCCAGACCATTGCTGTAATAGGTCACCTGTAACCAGAAGAAAGAACCACTTAAATAGTAGAACTCTGCAGGTACCACCAAAATTTGGCCCACCTTTATTACTCACATTTTTACAGCTCACTTCCAAATCAATTGCCTCCAGTTCCGTTTGATTTTCTCGGGATAACACAGCCTCGGCGGAAGGAATGTTCACAAGGGAGGGAGAAGCTGGAAGAAAAAATTTAAAATAATAAATTTTAAAAAATCCACGCCTATAAATATACCCTAAAAAATATTTTTCAAAAAATCCACGCCTATAAATATACCCTAAAAAATATTTTTCAAAAAATCCACGCCTATAAATATACCCTAAAAAATATTTTTTAAAAAATCCACGCCTATAAATATACCCTAAAAAATATTTTTTAAAAAATCCACGCCTATAAATATACCCTAAAAAATATTTTTCAAAAAATCCACGCCTATAAATATACCCTAAAAAATATTTTTTAAAAAATCCACGCCTATAAATATACCCTAAAAAATATTTTTTAAAAAATCCACGCCTATAAATATACCCTAAAAAATATTTTTTAAAAAATCCACGCCTAAAAATATACCCTAAAAATATTTTTTAAAAAATCCACGCCTATAAATATACTCCAAAAATATTTTTTTAAAAAATCCACGCCTATAAATATGCCCTAAAAAATATTTTTTAAAAAATCCACGCCTATAAATATACCCTAAAAAATATTTTTTAAAAAATCCACGCCTATAAATATACCCTAAAAAATATTTTTTAAAAAATCCACGCCTATAAATATAAAAAAATATCCACGCCTATAAATATACTCCAAAAATATTTTTTTAAAAAATCCACGCCTATAAATATACCCTAAAAAATATTTTAAAAAATCCACGCCTATAAATATACCCTAAAAAATATTTTTTAAAAAATATTTTTTAAAAAATCCACGCCTATAAATATACCCTAAAAATATTTTTCAAAAAATCCACGCCTATAAATATACCCTAAAAATATGTTTAAAAAATCCACGCCTATAAATATACCCTAAAAAATATGTGTAAACAATCCACGCCTATAAATATACCTTAAAAAATATTTTTACAAAATCCACGCCTATAAATATACCCTAAAAACTATTTTTAAAGAAATCCACGCCTATAAATATACCCTAATAAATATTTTTAAAAAATGCACTTACCATCATTTTCCTGTTGCTGCTGCAAGCTACGTTTCAAGTGATTCGCCATCATATCCTCGGATGCTGCCAATACAACATCTACCCCACCGCCACTACCCTCGATGGTATTAAGAAAATTCACAGAATTTTCCAATGACTTGGCTAGGTGAGATGTTGCAGCTGGGTGGGCTGCCGATGATGTTTCATATTTTAAAGTGCATGGCTTACCCGCCGAATCCAATAAACGATATTGAACGCTGGCTTTATGCTCGAAAAAGGTGCTCATTGTGGAGAGGAGGCAGAAGATTGTGACACCTATAAAATGGGGGAAAACAAATAAATAAATTTAAAAAATTGCATACTTTTAGGCTAACAAAATTTTTCCGCCTAAAATTAGGCACTGAAAATTATTATTTTTATAATAATAAAGAATATTTTAGACCATTTTTCCTTATAACTAAAAATTACTAGTCCTCCACCCTTAACCTATCCCAACGACTACTGAATTATCCTGCTCCTTAAATTCATCCACCCATTTTCCATTTCCTTTAAGAATTTCCCGCTTTAAACCTCGCTACATGAACACACCCATTGTTTTCTTGTTTGTCCTCTCTATCTCGGGCTTTACTCCTGTCCTCGATTAAAAGTCAGTCAGGTAATTGAAAGTACTGAAAAGCCGCCGGCGCTGGTACGAGCAGTTATTTGCGATTACCATTTTTCAAGCGTTGTCTTTTCTGACAGCCATTCAGTCAGACAGACAGACAGTCAGTTAGCCAAGTCATTCACTCAAGCATTTGTTTGGATGGCTGGTTGAGTGACTGGTTGGTCGGTCGGTTGACTTGTTTGTTGGCATACCACGTATTTTAGTTCAGTGAGGGAGTGCCCACACATAATTATTGTCTTTGACATGGAAAACTGCAGGGGTGGGCAAACTAAGGCACTACTGAGACAAAATAATTTAAAACACGCCTTGGGCTAGGTTTTGAAAAGTGAAGTTTAAAAAATCCACGCCTTGGGCTAGACTTTAAAAAATGAAGTTTAAAAAATCAACGCCTTGGGCTAGGCTTTGAAAAGTGAAGTTTAAAAAATCCAAGCCTTGGGCTAGGCTTTGAAAAGTGAAATTTAAAAAATCCACGCCTTTCGCTAGGCTTTGAAAAGCGAAGTTTAAAAAATCCACGCCTTGGGCTAGGCTTTGAAAAGTGAAGTTTAAAAAATCCACGCCTTGGGCTAGGCTTTGAAAAGTGAAGTTTAAAAAATCCACGCCTTGGGCTAGGCTTTGAAAAGTGAAGTTTAAAAAATCCACGCCTTGGGCTAGGCTTTGAAAAGTGAAATTTAAAAAATCCACGCCTTTCGCGTGGGCTAGGCTTTGAAAAGTGAAGTTTAAAAAATCCAAGCCTTGGGCTAGGCTTTGAAAAGTGAAATTTAAAAAATCCACGCCTTTCGCTAGGCTTTGAAAAGCGAAGTTTAAAAAATCCACGCCTTGGGCTAGGCTTTGAAAAGTGAAGTTTAAAAAATCCACGCCTTGGGCTAGGCTTTGAAAAGTGAAGTTTAAAAAATCCACGCCTTGGGCTAGGCTTTGAAAAGTGAAGTTTAAAAAATCCACGCCTTGGGCTAGGCTTTGAAAAATATTTTTAAAAAACCCACGCCTATGGTTAGGCTTTAAAAAATGAATTTTAAAAAATCCACGCCTAAATGTAGGCCCTTAAAATTAATTTTATAAAAACCACGCCTAAATGTAGGCCCTTAAAATGAATTTTAAAAAATCCACGCCTAAATGTAGGCCCTTAAAATGAATTTTATAAAAACCACGCCTAAATGTAGGCCCTTAAAATGAATTTAAAAAAAACCACGCCTAAATGTAGGCCCTTGAAATGAATTTTAAAAAATCCACGCCTATGGTTAGGCTTTAAAAAATGAATTTTAAAAAATCCACGCCTAAATGTAGGCCCTTAAAATGAATTTTAAAAAATCCACGCCTAAATGTAGGCCCTTAAAATGAATTTTAAAAAATCCACGCCTAAATGCAGGCCAAAAAATTGATTTCAAAAAATCCCAAAAAAATATTTTTAAAAAAATTTAATTAATTTTCCCTTCCCTGCTCCTGTATCGAAACCGCTCAACTCTATCTTCCTTCCACTTTGCCCTAAAAAATATGAGTATTCCTCTTTGACTCCTCACCATTCCACAGCCAACTCACCTGCAATAACTTTCTTGGCCAACGATTCCGTACAGAATGTCTGACGCTTCAGGGGATAACGTATCGCAATAAATCGTTCGATGGTAAAGCATACAGCTATGTAAATTGATATATAGGCTATAAATGATGGAGGTGGATGCACACACACACACATACGCAGGCGAGAAGATACATAACAATCCAACAACATGGTGATAGTGGCCATCATTTTCGTTTGTTTCGTTGTGGGCCAACAGCCAGAAGCCACAATAACATCATCATCAACGTCGCCGGCAACGTCATCATAGTCCAATGAGGCCATGTTGCAAGACAACCGGAAAAAATACCAACATAAAACAACAAGACCAAGGAACATAAAGAAAAAGAAGAAGAACAAGGAGAAGAAGAAGAAAACAAGAAAAAATTGTTAGCATTTTTCAATTCGATTTTTTTCTGCAGGATTTTTTTGCTCCGCCATTTCGAGGCACAATTACAATTCTCGATGTTCGAAACTGTTCATCCATAACTTACCGCAGGCATCACACAGCCACGTAAAAGTTCCATACAATTCCCAATAGAGTTTGACATGCAGATGTATGTACTGGTAGTGTTGGAAGGATAGCAGCAGGCCCATGGTCAGAAAGAAAATATCGGTGATGGCCAGAGCGGTTAGATAAATGTTTGTGGTGCAACGCATGCGTTTTCTGGAAGGGAAGGAAAAAAGGAGAAAGTAAATATTAGATATTAAGAAATCAAAACTAGCAATGAAGCCTAAATGTAGGCCACGAAAAATTAATTTGAAAAAAACCCGCCTAAATGTAGACCTCAAAAATTACTTTTTAAAAATACGCGCCTAAATGTAGACCTCAAAAATTACTTTTTAAAAATCCACGCCTAAATGTAGACCTCAAAAATTACTTGGTTAAAAATCCACGCCTAAATGTAGACCTCAAAAATTACTTTTTAAAAATCCACGCCTAAATGTAGACCACAAAAATTACTTTTTAAAAATCCACGCCTAAATGTAGACCTCAAAAATTACTTTTTAAAAATCCACGCCTAAATGTAGACCTCAAAATTTTTAAAAATCCACGCCTAAATGTAGACCTCAAAAATTACTTTTTAAAAATCCACGCCTAAATGTAGACCTCAAAATTTTTAAAAATCCACGCCTAAATGTAGACCTCAAAAATTACTTTTTAAAAATCCACGCCTAAATGTAGACCTCAAAATTTTTAAAAATCCACGCCTAAATGTAGACCTCAAAATTTTTAAAAATCCACGCCTAAATGTAGACCTCAAAATTTTTAAAAATCCACGCCTAAATGTAGACCTCAAAATTTTTAAAAATCCACGCCTAAATGTAGACCTCAAAATTTTTAAAAATTACTTTTTAAAAATCCACGCCTAAATGTAGACCTCAAAAATCCACGCCTAAATGTAGACCTCAAAAATTACTTTTTAAAAATCCACGCCTAAATGTAGACCTCAAAAATCACTTTTTAAAAATCCACGCCTAAATGTAGACCTCAAAAATTATTTTTTTAAAATCCACGCCTAAGGATAGGCTATGAAAATTAATTTTTAAAAATCCACGCCTTAGGATAGGCTATGAAAATTAATTTTTAAAAATCCACGCCTTAGGATAGGCTATGAAAATTGATTTTTAAAAATCCACGCCTTAGGATAGGCTATAAAAATTACTTTTTAAAAATCCACGCCTTAGGATAGGCTATGAAAATTACTTTTTAAAAATCCACGCCTTATGATAGGCTATTAAAATTAATTTTTAAAAATCCACACCTTAGGATAGGCTATGAAAATTAATTTTTAAAAATCCACGCCTTATGATAGGCTATTAAAATTAATTTTTAAAAATCCACGCCTTAGGATAGGCTAAGAAAATTAATTTTTAAAAATCCACGCCTTAGGATAGGCTATGAAAATAATTTTTTAAAAATCCACGCCTTAGGATAGGCTATGAAAATTAATTTTTAAAAATCCACGCCTTAGGTTAGGCTATGAACATGAATTTTTAAAAATCCACGCCTTAGGATAGGCTATGAACATGAATTTTTAAAAATCCACGCCTTAGGATAGGCTATGAAAATTCATTTTTAAAAATCCACGCCTTAGGATAGGCTATGAAAATTAATTTTTAAAAATCCACGCCTTAGGATAGGCTATGAAAATTAATTTTTAAAATCCACACCTTAGGATAGGCTATGAAAATTGATTTTAACCACATAAAATATTTTTATTATTGTTAAAATTAAATTTCCCTTACTTCCCTTTATCATAAAACCAATCACTTATTGCAACCCCTCAGGATCCATGTCATTACCTTATCGCCGCCGTTCGCAATTCATTTGGCGTTATCGATTGCCATCTTTATTTTGCGAATTTATTTTTCCCCCTGTAATAGTTTTTCTATTAAAATTTATTTATTTGTCAATTACTTTTTATTTAAACGGTACTTATTCACGCGTACACTCACACACATACACCTTGACGTTGGCACGCACACCCATACACGCATAACCTTTGATTGCTTGAGTACCTCATGCTGAGCTAACCCTCTATTATTTATTTTTTCCCGGTTTTTTATTTTTGTTTTTCTCTTCTTCTTCTTCTTGAAGTTACAAACACGTTTCCATTTCAATTTTTCTTCTTTTATTTTATTGCCGTTATTTCGCTTCGTTCTAAATTGCCCTTCCATTAGAAATACCAACTAACATTTATTGAAAACGACCGGGAGGTTTTAAGATGCTCCCTTTCACCCACTCAGGTGAAATGGGAGAGGATGCATCAATAAAAGTAAAAAAATATTCGCGCCTGTAAATATGCTACAAAAAATATTTAACAAAAAAACTATGCCTATCGTAGGAGTCTCAGAAACTATTTTTAAAAAATCCAAGCTTATAGGCATGCTACAAAAAAATATTTTCTAAAATCCACGCCTATAAATATACCGAAAAAAAATATTTTTAAAGATCCACGCCTATAAATATACCGAAAAAAATATTTTTAAAGATCCACGCCTATAAATATGCCATTAAAATATTTTAAAAAAAATCCACGCCTATAAATATGCCCTAAAAAATATTTTAAAAAAATCCACGCCTGTAAATATGCTACAAAATATATTTTTAAAAAATCCTAAAAATATTTTCTAAAATCCACGCCTATAAATATGCCCTAATTTTTTCTAAATCACCAAAAAATCCATTTTCTTCGAATCCTTTTAGATATTTTCCCCAAAAAATTGTTCCCAACAATTCTCCACGCTTGCAATAACCTGAAACATAACAATTCATTTGTGATGCGCTACGAATTGTTTGCTTTAGAGCACTAAGGAGGATATGAATTCTGCTCATCAAAAGCACCAACAATAACCCGAACAAAAGTAAGGTTATGACATTATTGGCAAACTATTACAATGCAATGTTCAGTTGCATGTCAACAACAATATCCTTCGTTTTTATGGGAAACCCCCAACCCCGTCCCGTACTGTAATATCAAACATTTCGTTGAATATCCTCTTTTTTTTTTCTTTGTCTATTGTCCATGGAAATTGAGGTACATACAGATGATCGCTCGGCAGATAGAAAGAAGGAGAGACAGAGCAATAAAAGTAAACATTGGGGGGAAGAGAGGATGTTCCCAATAAAGGGTATATCAGAAGGGAAGGTTAGGAAGATGCACACCTTAATTTCGTGCAAATCGAAGGATATAAAGGGACCTGGGTGCACTATTTACATAAAATCGGAAGAAAATATATATATGGGAGCTATATCTAAATCTGTACCGATTTTCAGGAAACTTTCCACACACCATTCTAGACTCAATTCAGTACGCTCTGCCAAATTTCGTGCAAATCGAAACATATAAAGGGACCTTGGTGCACTATTCACCTAAAATCGGACGAAAATATATATGGAAGCTATATGTAAATCTGAACCGATTTTCACGAAACTCAGCACATATCATTCTAGACTTTATTGAGTACGATTTCCCAAATTTCGTGCAAATCGAAAGATATATAGGGATATTGGTGCACCATATACCTAAAATCGGAAGAAAATATATATGGGAGCTATATCTAAATCTGAACCGATTTTCCCGAAACTCACCACTCATCATTCTAGACTCAATTCATTACGTTATGCCAAATTTCGTGTAAATCGAAGGATATAAAGAGACCTTAAAGCACCATTTACATAAAATCGGAAGGAAATATATATAGAAGCTATATCTAAATCTGAACCGATTTTCCTGAAATTCACCACTCATCACTCTACACTCAACTCAGTACGCTATGCCATATTTCGTGCAAATCGAAGGATATAAAGGGACCTTGGTGACTTATTCACCTAAAATCGGACGAAAATATATAAGGGAGCTATATCTAAATCTGAACCGATTTTCAGGAAATTTAACACACATCATTCTACACCTAATTCATTACGCTGTGCCAAATTTCGTGCAAATCGGAAGTTATATAGGGTCTTTGGTGCCCCATTTACCTTAAATCGGACGAAAATATATATGGGAGCTATATCTAAATCTGAACCGATTTTCAGGAAATTTAACACACATCATTCTAGACTTAATTCAATACGCTATGCCAAATTTCGGGCAAATCCACCAACATATACATTAAATCGGACGAAAATTTATGTTGGAGCTATATCTAAATCTGAACCGATTTTCACGAAATTTAACACATATCATTCTGGACCTAATTTGGTATGCTATGCCAAATTTCGTGCAAATCGAAGCATATAAAGGGACCATGGTGCACTATTTACCTAAAATCGGAAGAAAATATATATGGAAGCTATATCTAAATCTGCACCGATTTTCACGAAATTTAACACACATCATTCTAGACCCTATTCATTATGCTGTGTCAAGTTTCGTGCAAATCGAAAGATATATAGGTACTTTGGAGAACCATTTTCCTTAAATCGGACGAAAATATATATGGAAGCTATATCTAAATCTAAACCGATTTTTCCCAATTTCAATAGGGTTGGTCCTTGGGCCAAATAAATGAACTATACCAAATTTCATAAAATTCGAATCAAAAATGCCTTAGGAGAGGCTTAGGAGAAGCTTTGACGAATATTTTTTTAAATCCACGCCTGTGGATACACCCTAAAAAAATATTGTTGAGAAAATCCACGCCTGTGGGTAGACCCTAAAAAATATTGTTAAGAAAATCCACGCCTCTAAATATGCCCTAAAAAATATTTTTAAAAATCTACGCCTAAAAAATCTTCCCATATTTAAAGGGCTCAGAATTTTTTTTTCCTTATCCCAAATTATTCTACCCTTTATTTCCAAGAGGCAACCAAAAAAAATCCGCTTTGTTACAAAAACTTACCTTGTCAAAACATAAACGCTGACAGAGTTTCCCAAAACGCCAATAACAAAAATGCACGGTACCAATATCTTTTGCACCACATGACGCACTTCGTTTACCGTCTCATCGCTGATGTGTACCATGGTGATGACGATGATGATGCTGACGATGACGATGATGTGAATGACGCTTGCCTGTAATGTGCTCTAGTGGCCTGTCCTGACTGTGTGGCTAAATGACTATGTCCAAATGGAGAGATAGCTTGGCTTGGCTAAAAACGGGGTATTGTTTAACTAACGTTGCACTTTTTATTTTGTGTTTTTCTTTCCTTGGCTCTGGCAAATACCCTGAAGCGGGAAAATGTGCACTAACGTTTCTTCTTAATGATACTTCGCTGGCAATTGTCTTGTCCCTCAATTCGAATGTTTTGAAATTGCCGTTTGTTGTTGTTATTGTTGTTTTTTTAGAAGTTTTGTATTTAGATTTTTGTTATTTGTTGTTGTGGTTGGTTGGTTATTCGAATGCTCTTGTTTCCTTTGCGGGTTATTATCATTGTTATTATTGGGGCCGTGACTGACAATTGCATGTGATGCTGCTGCTGCTACCGCTGATGATGTTTGCCATTTTTCCTAAAGGCAAAAATTTGCAATTTTTTTTCCCAACAATTTCAATAAAATTTTCGTATAGAAATTTTTTTATTCGATTATTTTCTCCTCCTCCAAAGTTTGGTAAAATTTTCGAATTGCTAATAGTTGTCTCTTTTGGGAATTTTTTTTTAAACAAACTTTTTGTTGTTGTTTTTTTTTTTACTTTTCTATGAGCCAATGGTTCATTAAACTCAAATTAGTTTTCCCATGCGAAAGGGGGGAGCGGGAGAATTTTTCCTGCACATTTAATGGTTCCAAATCCAATATAATTTTCATTGCCTTTTTGCCTTTCCAATGAGCTGTAAATAGAAATAATAAAAAATCATCAATAAATAAAAATTAAAATTAAACAAAATTAATTGTGTTTAAACAAGATTTTGTTTCTCTTTATTTGGCCAGAGGTTATTGGATTTTTTTGTTGTTGTTGTATCTACCTTGGCTTCCGTTTTTAGATTTATGGACAAAAATTTCCTTCTTGTTTATATGATTCCGAAAACAAAAATATATTTTTATTTGAAAAAAAAAATCGTTTTGAAAATCTTAAAAAATTAGCAGTAAAACATAAAACGTATGATTAATATAATTTTTTTTTTACGTATAATTAATATTAATTATTTATGTACGTATGATTAATATTAATTATAGAAAATCATAAAACGTATGATTAATATTAATTTTTTCGTATGATTAATATTAATTATTTATGTACGTATGATTAATATTTATTATAGAAAATCGTGTTACTCATACGCAAATAAATTTTTCTGATGACTTTTCAACTGAGGCCAAATTTTCACTGAAGGCTTCACTTTAGCCACTTGGTATAAAAGGAAAAAATATTCCTTATCAAATTTTACTATAGGTTTCGGAACACAAAATCTTGCTAGGAAAAATATAAATCATGAAATAGCAAGCACAAATATCAATACAAATAATGGAACATTTTGGCAAAAATATTTCCTAGGCCACTGGAAAACTTTTGAATTTTTTCAAGATCCCTTCATTGTATAGACTGGGTTACAATGGAGAAAATATTCTCCATAACATTTCAATATAAGTCTTCGAATACACGAAGTCCATAACTATAATATATAGCAATGAAATTGAGGCCTCAAACAGGGTAAAAAGGCAAAAAATCGTTTTTAGTGAAATTGCGGTATTTTTTAGGGAATTTCGAAATTTGTCAATTTTTCCACACAACCCTTTATTTTAGAAGCCTGGTTACAATGGAGAAAATATTCTCCATAGAATTTCAATGTAAGTCTTCGAATACACGAATTCCGTAACTATTATATATAGCAATGTAATATTGGCCTCAAACTGTGTAAAGGGCAAAAAAACTTTGTTCGACATTGACCAAATCTTTTTGTTAATTTCGGAATTTGCCAGTTTTTCCACACAACCCTTTCTTTTAGAGGCTGGGTTATAATAGAGAAAATATTCTTCATAGAATTTCAATGTAAGTCTTCGAATACTCGAATTCCGTAACTATAATGTATAGCGATGAAATTGAGGCCTCAAAATGGCTATAAAAGCAAAATAAGCATTTTTGGTCAATTTGGGGTATTTTGTTCGAAATTCACCAAATTTTCGCAGAAGCCTTAATTTTAGGGAAGCCTTAAGGGGAAAAATATTCCCTACCAAATTTCACTATAGGCCACTGAACAACAAAAATTCGAAACTACAGTATTTATCAATTAAATAGCAGCGTTAATTTAGGTATAAATAGGAAAAGGTAATGATAATGGTCATTTTGGTACAATTTTCAAATTTAGTTAAATTTTCCGCAATGGGTTCATCTTCGAGGCCTGATGCCAATGGGGAAAATATTCTTCATCGAATTCTGATAGAGGTCACTGAACAACAAAAATTCGAAACTACAGTATTTATCTATTAAATAGCAGCGTTAAATTAGGTATAAATAGGAAAAGGTAATGATAATGGTCATTTTGGTACAATTTTCAAATTTAGTTAAATTTTCCGCAATGGGTTCATCTTGGAGGCTTAATACCAATGGAGAAAATATTCTACATCGAATTCTAATGTAGGTCACCGAACAACATAAATCCGTAACTACAGTCTGTATCACATAAATAGCAGTACCAAATTAGGTATAAAAAGTAAAATAAATAATTTTGTAATTTTGTTACGCTTTTTCAAATTTAGTCAAAAGTTCCCCCACGGGTTCACCTTCGAGGCCTGATGTCAATGGGGAAAATATTTTTCATCGAATTCTACTATAGATCACCGAACAACTGAAAAGTGTAATTGCAGTATGTATCCCATAAATAGCACTGCGAATTTAGGTATAAAACTAATAGAAATTAGTAATGGTAATTTTTGGTCATTTTTCAAATTAGACCAAATTATCCCCAAGCGTTCATCTTCGAGGGCCGGTACCAAAGGCCAAAATATTCTACATCAAATTCTACTATAGGTCACCGAACAACAGCAAACCGAATCTACAGTCTATAGCAACTAAATAGCAGTACCATGTTAGGTATTAAAATAAAAGAACATAATATTGGTAATTTTGGTACATTTTTTAAATTTAGTCAAAATTTCCCACAAGGGTTCATCTTTTATGGTTAGTGCCCAAGGAATAAATATTCTACATCGAATTCTGCTTAAGGTAACCGAACACCACAAATCGAAAACTATAGTCTTTAACAAAAAATAGCCGTCTCGAGTTAGATATAAATAGTAATGAAAATAATATGGTTTGTTTTGGTATATTTTTAAAATTTGATCAAATTTGTGCATAAGGTTCCATTTTTGAGGGTTTCAATGAGAAAAATATTCGTCATCGAATTCTACTATGGGTCAGCGAACAACAGAAAGGTGTAATTACAGTATGGATCCTATAAATAGCAGTGCAAAGTTTGGTGTATAAAGAAAATAAAAAATATCTATCATTTTGGTAACCATTTTTCAAATTTGGTCAATTTTCCCCCCAAGAGTTAATCTTTCAGGTCTGATACCGAAGGCGAAAATATTCTACATCGAATTCTACTATGGGTCACCGAACACGAGAAATTTGAAACTACAGTCTATAACAATTAAATAGCAGTACCAATTTAGGTATCACAAGAAAATAAAAGGTATTCTCATTTTGGTACACATTTTTTAAAAATTGGTCGAAATTTCCGACAAGGATTCATCTTCGAGACCTATTGTCAAAGGGCAAAATATTCTACACCAAATTCTACTATAGGTCACTGAACAACATAAATCTTCAACTACAGTCTATAACAACTAAATAGCAGTACCAAGTTAAGTAAAAAAATAAAAGAAAATAATATTGGCAATTTTGGTACACTTTTCAAATCTGGTCAAAATGTTCCCCAAGCGTTCATCTTGGAGGCCTGATGCCAATGGGGAAAATATTTTCAATTGAATTCTACTATGGATCACGGAACAAAAGAAATTCGACACTACAGTCTATAATAATTAAGTAGCAGTGTCAGTTTGCCTATTTGGTATAAAACTAACAAAATGTATTTTTGGACAATTTTGTTACATTTGTTCAAATATTGGTCAAAATTTTCCCCCAAGATTGCATTCTACAGGTTTGATGCTAATGGAAAATAAATTCTACACAAAATTTCACTACGAGCTTCAGAACATACGAAGTTTGTAGTTTTAACCGTTAGCATTAAAAATCTCCCATTTTTTGTGTAACTTTTGCGTATATATATACATATATCAAATTTGGTCATATTTCAAATGAGGTCCACTTTTCCGCACAAAACTTCATCGTAGATGCTTGCACTTAATGAAAGAAATATTCTGAACCGAATTTCACTATGGGTCACCGAACAATCGAAATCTCCATCTATACAAATATTAAGACAAAATTTGGATCTTAATAGCAAAAAATATATATTCTTACAATTCTCTCAATTTAGTGCCGTTTTTCCACACAAAAGACTCCACATGGAGGCTTAGTGTCAATGAAAGAAATATTGTACATCGAATTTCAGTATAGGTCACCGAACAAGAAAAATCTGTATCTATAATAAATAACCCTAAAATCTAGGCACCAACGCGGTTATATTAAATACTTTTGGAAATGTTTGTACATCTTCAGTTATGGGTCAATTTCCCTTACAATGCTTTAATTTAAAGGGATGCTCTCAAGCAGTAGAATATTCTCCATCAAATTTCACTATTGGTCACCGAAGAACACCACCTCGTATGATTAATATTAATAGGTGCTCGTTGGTATTTATGATACTCATACGCCACAGAAGACAACTTCATATAATTTATTTTTAATTTCTCCTTATTTAGGCCCAATTTCTTTAAACTCCGGTATTTTAGAGGTCTACTTCCAAAAAGGAAAATATTATCCATCGAATTTCACTATGGGTCACTGAACACCAAAAATCTGTATCTTTAAAAATAGTATCGATATCTCAGTATAAATTTGTTTATAAGAAATATTTTGGGTAAATTTGGTGCTACTTCAGTTTTGGTCCAAATGTCCCCAAAAAAACTTTATTTTCGAAAGGAACTT